ATAAAATATATATATATATTTATATGAATGTGTGTGTATGTATATTATATATATATACACATATATATTTGATTTATTATTAATACATTTTTAATGTTCCTAATAAATTTATTTGCTTCCTATCCATTTCTTACCTTCACCTTCATAGATCTAATTTACAAAATTATCCTCATCCCTTCACATCATTTCTTTGATTAAAATTTAATCGTACTTAAAAATTATTAAAATTGTATATTTTTGTGTTCTATGTGTACATATAAATACGTGCGTATATACGTATTTACCGCGATATAAAACATATATCGCTTCATTCTGTTGGTAGTTCCAGATTCGTTCAGGAAGTATCCTGAAGGTCTTTGCAAAATGTGTAAAGATTTTACTAGCTTGGGAATGTTCCAAGAAATAATTATAGCACGAATAGATGAGCTGGTATCAACGAATATCGATAATTTTAATTTATTAAATATTTTCAATGAAAGAAACTATTCATTATTTTATCGATTGATTTTTATGCCGCAAACATTATGAATTTATTCCAGTAAAGTTATTCTGTTCTTACGTAATGCGTGAGAATCTGATTTTCTAATTATCTTACACTATTGATTCCTGTAAGAATAATTTTCAAATAGTGATGCAAGAATATTTTCTATCAATAATAAAATCTTTTTCTTTTAATTTCAATATTTTATAATAATATTCAATTATTTAAGAATTTTAATCTAACAGTAAAATCAAATTAGACCTTCTATGATACATTACACAGTCATTTCAATTTACATTAATATGTTGTATTTAGCAAAATCATTTTATTTAATTGTTTATTCGTTATGACTAGAACTTCATTATATTCAACAGTGTTCAATGATAATAAAAATGTAAGTTTTCTGTCCATTTTTTATGAGCTTTGTCTCGTTCTGTCTCCTCGATGTTTTATTATATACGCACAATTTGTTTATACATTTCACACCTGCATTTTTCCTGCCTATTAAATTCATATGAAATCTCTACAATCAATAGACTTGAGGTATTTAACGTGTCACACAGGAGTAATATATGTGAGATATATCACTTGTTATTTTGGAATACGAGAACGTCTATTTTATAATAGACTTTTAGATAAATAAAATATAAATAAAAAATAATTTTGTGAAAATGCCTGTGATCTATGCGGACAATATGCAATAATAATTTCTGAACGCGTTAGCATGATTATTCTTTCATCGTGTACAAAGTCTCGATTCTTGCGTGTTAGATTTAATTTCATTGACCCTAAAGTGCATGACACGATCCGCGAGCTATCTGTTCCCCTTCTTTCAATCATCAGATCAGCTTTTAAGTATTGTACTATTTTTTTTTTATTTCTTTATTAAATTACCGTTGGGTTGTTCTTTCATTTGTGTGTAAAAAAAGAAAAATACAATCGTATAAATGGTAATGGGCCTGCTTGGAAAAAAAAATATATAATCAATCTCGCTAATCTCTACATGAACTTCATTTTCTACGCTCTTTACACTTTATGCATACAATATCATATATTGTCACAGATTAACACAGACTGTCATTGTTCATTTGATTTGCTACGGTATAAATGTTACCGTAAAAGTAGTACACCTATTTTGATGGTTGTATAAAATTTCTTCGAAGTTTCACAGAATTATTATAATAAATTACAGTTGTGATAAGTCATCAATTATATTCAGATCTGGTACAATATATAAACGATAAATTCACTGCATCAGTAGTAGAATTTTAATTATAGTTAGAAAAGTTATTAGCATTTTGTTTATAAGTTTCATCTTATCGTGGATTTATTATTGCATATTCTCATATTCGAGTTGTTGCTTCGTTTCAGGTTAGGTCCATGTCCACGTGTTTAATTGGTATTCAAAGTTCTCAGAAATAGATAGAGAAAGAGAGAGTTCGAAGAATTGTAATTAATCGCTTTCACGGTAACATGTATAACCCGTGCATGCGTATAATCCAATTATGTGTAATCATTCTTTGGGTGAACCGGAAATGTTCTATTTTTGGCTTGGATAAACCTCAGACTTACATTAGACGCAGCAAGCGACTAACTTGCAAACTCACGTCTGTCTTTCTCTGTGTCATTCGGTTCTTAAGCGATAGAAGAATATGTCCACGGAACTGTCGCTATTTCTCTTCTTTGTTTAGAAATCCCGCGGAGATGTCGCACACGTGCCGCGGCACAATATCCTTGCACGGGGCCTTAATACACACCGTGGACGCTTGCACATTCGTTGTGAGCAACGGTGGTACGCAAACCTTCCATATCAAGGCAGCGACAGAGGTAGAACGTCAGCAATGGGTCACGGCCCTTGAGTTGGCGAAGGCCAAGGCTATCCAGGCCATGGAATCTGGTCTGTACCCAGAAATGATCATTCGTTTTCTATTTCACATTTGTGAAAGAGAGAAAGAATCATTTGTTAAAATTATTATTTACGTAATAAATTTATGCGAATAGTTTTAAATTGAAATCTTTAACTGGATGTACATTAGATAAACTGCACTAGAGAAAAAGAAAAATTTAATCATTTTGTAAAAGAAGTGAGAAGTATATATAATTTTTAGAAAATAATCTTAAGTAATCTTTAGAATTTATTATATTTATTATGTCTTCAAATTCTATTCAACCTTAAGTTTCATTTAAGAACAATGATGGTCATATTTATTAAATCGATTGAGCAATTTGGTTCTTATTGTGAATATTAAATATATGCTGATTGTGATATCAGATAATCGTAAAAAATATTAATAACTTATTATAATTATTATATTAATAATAATAACTTAATAATATAATTATTTATAAAGTCTTCAATAAATCCAATTTTGATTTAGCGTTTCATAAAATTGATTCTTTTTCTCTTATTTTATTGGCCGATAATTCTGAACAGGAATCAATTATTATTTTCAATTAATAAATCTATTAATAAAGACAATTGTTTATAGCAGCTCTTCTAACATTTACATCAATGGTAATCAATAGATGAACAATGAACGATGCAAGAATTATATAATAATATAAATCTCGATCGCAATTGAGAATCAGATACAATAGATTTATATTTCTTTGATTTTTATTAGCTACTTCAATATTAGAATAAAATATATTCTATTTTAATTTTAATTTTTCATAATGAACATCTTTGTAATATCTGTGAATTAATGATATATATGTATTATATTTTATATCACAAAAAAGAAAATTAATAAAATTATTGATTAATCACAGCATTGAAATTCTATTGTTTTCAATAGAATTTCAAAATAATTGATATATATAAACTCTTTGAATTTGTGTAAGTTTTTTTTTATGCAAATGATGTAATAAATAACGTAAAAGTCTGAGTGATAAATGAAACAAAGACAAAAAAAATACATTAAGAATATGAATATTTAGCACTTGATCTACATTTATTTCTTTTATCAATGTTTTTAAAGCGTAGCAATTTTTTATTTAATATACGATTTAATACATAACATATTTATATATTTATAATATAAGATATATTTGTTTCTTATTTTCGACCTAAAAATTATAATTTAAGGAAATTAATTCAGCCATTAATTAATTAAAACTATTTTTTCGTTGGGAACTCTTTTCACAAAATTAAATTATAAATATGTTTTTATTGTCAATATTGTTGTTATGTATTATCTTCTTTTGAAGAATTCATAGACTTTTCGTCTAAAATAAATACAAGTTTCAATAAATATCAAATCTTTTGCACTAAACTTTAAAACAATTATGTTATGTAGTATAAAATTTGTTTCAGAAGAAGAGGAGGAGGAATTTCAAGATAATGACAGTCAAAAACCAGAACAAGTCTCTGTAAAGGATCTATCGCAGCGTTTAGAAAATTTACAAGCATGTAATGATTTATTAGTAAAAAAAGGGACAATGCTTCAGCGAATCTTAAACGAGCTTGAAGCGTTGGAGCCTCCATCGGCCGAATTAGGGACAAAAATAAAGACAGTCAGTGAACGAGCCACACTCTTTCGCATCGCAGCCAGTGCTATGGTTAATGTAAGTTGAAAGGCCATCGTTAAGACTAATATTCAGATTAAAATTTCTGGACAACATCATACAAAATTACCCTATTCTAATCTTATTACTCTATTTCTAGTGTTATTGATTTATAAAACAGATTTACAAAATAATTAGATATTGTTTATCTTTATTTTCGTTAAATTTTGTAATAATAGAATTAATAACACAAAGTTACAATATATTAATATAACTATAACAGAAATTATAAAAAAAATAACAAAATGACATTTAGTAATTTAATGTTACGTTCAAAAATGTTGAAGTTATATCGGTCGTGTAAGAAATTAGAAAGAATTCTAATTCCAGGCAAGCAATGAATATTTGCAATTAGCGCAGCAACAAGAACCAAAATGGAAAAAGATGCTGCAACATGAGCGCGATCAGAAAGTACGAATAGAAAAAATGGTAGAGCAATTGGCTAGGCAACATTCTCATTTGGAAGAGGCTGCACAACATGCCTTACCTTCGGCAGTTCCAACAGGAGGACACAGAGCTTCGCGTAATAATATTTTTTATATTAATGTGATTAGTAATGCTGTAATTAGTTTCGATGCAAGAATATTAACTGTTGTTGTATATGCTATTGAGAAAACGAAATTCAAGTATTCGTTTACTGTTCATATTTTTTCGAGCTTATACTTTTGCATTTATATTGTTCGCAACATTATTTTATATATTGCAATCTTTCTTTTTGTAATATTAATTGAGATTTTATTAGAAGTGTATGTTATAGTCATATGTTCAGTGTAGTAAGGAATGCTGTATTTATCAAATAATAGTGCACAGCTATATATAATTACATATTTTATACATGCTTATCTATTTTATAAAAGCTTACTAATATGCTTTGCTATATAATATGTATATTTGAATTTTCGCGCCTTTATCGTCCTGTATTTTATTGTTCTTAAACCAGATGGCAGTCGTGTAACTTTACTTGATTTGAATGGTATCGTGACTTATGTAGTTTAAAGTCTATGCATGCAAGACACATAGTATATTGTATAGCATACTATAGTAATGTATATAAAGTTTATATATACATATATATATATATAGATACACACAGTATAGATATATGCATATATATATATATACACATATTAGTGTGCTTTCATTTCTCCCGAGTTTGGTGCTTAATCAGATTCAGGTGGCCTTGCAAATTCCCGTGTTGTGTGAATTTCTTTTTTGACAGTTTTTTTCGTGATTTCACTATTAAATTTGATGTAATATACTTAGTCGAACGTCGAAATTTTCGACGATTGTGTTCGAGAGAATCAGTGGAGAGATGTTAAACTGATAGTTAAACGGGGCAAGGGGAGAAATTTATTATCAACAGTTTATAACGGTCGACAGTTTCGATCAAATTTTTAGACTGCAAAGACTGAATAAGAGCGCCAAACCGATCTTTGAATGTAGCATAACCTAATGGGTGGTACATTATAGTAACCTGTAAAAAAATCACTGTGTACGAGCATCTTTAGTGATTCATTGTTCGTTACTTTAACCAGTACTGCAGGTGTGGACCGAAGTTGGAGGGGGTAGAGGACGGTACAACTTAATGGCAACAGCAGTTGTCATACCACGATTCAATCGGTTAGGAAGGGGAGTGATACAAATAATAAGAACAGGGGAGGGGTGGAAGGAATATTTCATAGTAGAGAAGTAAAGTGAAATAAATTTGAGCAGTGGCATGTGTGGTTACATAGGTTCAAACAATTTTTCATTCTTTGTGTTATATTTTTTATTGGCGCGAAATATATATTTTTTTGCATAATCGTAATGAAAGCTTTTATTGTATTTTGTGTTCATATATTCGCGTTTTATCTTTAATCTTAATAAGAAATTTATAAGTGATAAATGAAGATTTATAATTATAAAATTTGCTGTAAGATTGTAATTGAATAACTGTTTTATTGATTTACTAAATCTCATTTAGCTTTGCATATATATGTTTAGTTACTTATTTAATTATCAGTATAGTGAAATTCTGAGCAAAATTTTGATTATTGTTGTAGATACAACAGTTACAACTTCTCCATCAGAAGACGAAGAAGATAATGCAGAATTTTATGATGCACAAGAATCTGATACTTTTACCTTAAGTATACCTGGTGTTCCAACAAATAATTCAAGAGATCGAACTGATTCGCAAGGTAGTGACGATGGCTCTAGTTCAGAAGGAGATCAGACACCTTTACCTTTGTCAGAGACAGCTACTACAAATTCTTTTCGCATTGTGACCGATTCTACAGTGGTAACTCCAGTCACTGCTCCTAACACTGACAATCTGGATAATGTAAATGATTCTTATTTCTCATTTTTCAAATTTTAAATTAATTTATAATTAATTTTTATCTAATATTTTGATATATTTCATATCAGACAAATTGGGAATCCAATAATGGCTGCAGTGGCAGCACCGGGGTAACAGGTTATAGGCGAAAACGTAGAACTAGGGTACCTGAAAAACCAAATTATCCATTAAATTTATGGAGTATTATGAAAAATTGCATTGGTAAAGATTTGTCAAAAATTCCAATGCCTGTTAATTTTTCTGAACCACTTAGTATGCTTCAGCGGCTTACAGAAGATTATGAATATGCAGATATTCTTGACAGGTATATTTTATTTCAATTTTTATTAAATTATTATTATATAAATAATATAAATGTACGAAATAAATATTGTATTTTTTAACAGGGCAGCAGAATGTAAAGATATCTGTGAACAAATGGCTTATGTTGCTGCATTTACTATATCTAGTTATTCTACAACTGCTTCCAGAACTGGCAAACCTTTTAATCCTTTATTAGGTGAAACATACGAATGTGATCGTGTTGAAGACTTAGGATGGCGTGCGATTTCAGAACAAGTATCTCATCATCCTCCAATGTTAGCGCAACATTGCGAGGGCCGAAACTGGCGTTGTTGGCAAGAATTTACTATGGCATCTAAATTTCGTGGGAAATACCTCCAGGTAGATTTTATAATTTACTTTTTAAATGTTTTACAACATTTTAATAAATCTTTTTATATAAATCTACAATAATTAATTTTTTAAAAATTATTATAGGTAATACCATTAGGAACTGCTCACCTTGAAATTGATGGTACACACCATTATACATGGCGAAAAGTTACTACCACTGTACACAATATTATAGTAGGAAAATTATGGGTTGATCAAAGTGGTGATACAGATATTGTAAATCATAAACAAGGTATCAAGTGCCATTTGAAGTACACGCCCTATTCATACTTTTCGAGAGATAGTCAGCGTAAAGTAAAAGGAATAGTCATGAATTCAGACAATGAAGTTAAATGGGTAGTACAAGGTACGTGGGATTCAAAAATAGAAATCGCTCCCGTGATTAGTACATCTGGCACACCAGATAATCCAGTATACAAAACAGGGCCTTATATACTTGCCTGGAAACGTCGTATGCCTTGGTAAATATATAATTGAATTATGCATTACATTAAAAGGAAAGTATATAAATTTTTATGTATTATAATATTTTTACTTTTAGTGAAGATAGTGAAAAGTATTACAATTTTACCGAATTAGCATGTCAACTTAATGAAGTTGAAGAAGGCGTAGCTCCTACAGATTCCCGATTTAGGCCTGATCAACGATTAATGGAAAATGGTGAATGGGACAAAGCGAATGCAGAAAAACTTCGATTAGAAGAAAAACAAAGAGCTTCTCGACGTGCACGGGAACACGAAGCTGAAAAAGCAGCCGCTCAAGGTATAATTAAATATATTTTAAAATAATGAAAGAAATAATTGTTTAATAGTTAATAGTTTAATAATTTTGAATATATTATAATTGAAAATTTAATTTATATTAGGTTTACCATATGAAACTTATGAACCTTTATGGTTTAAGAAAGAGCAGGATCCATATACGGACAGTCTGTGCTATGTATACAATGGTGAATATTGGGAATGTAAGAGTAAAGGTGATTGGTCACGATGTCCAAACATATTTTAGCTTAATATATAATTATATCAATATTGTGACCGTCAATATACAATGCAGAAGTGTTTGGATTTATTTTAAGTGAAGATAGTTGATTTTAGAAATCACTGCTTCTAAAAAAATGCTGACACGATATGACATGATATAGTGGGATTGTTAGGGGACATGATTTAATCATTATTTCTTCCAAAGAACTGGTCGAAGTGGTAGAAGATGGCATTCTAATTTAAAACTAGCGTTTTTATAGTATGTCATTATCTCCATTCTCCTACATATCCTTTATCTGTTTATATTACCGCTGCATCCCTCTTTTATTCACTTTTCTAAACAATCAAAAACATTTGCGTATTTAATCCACATGGCCCAATTAATGCTTTGCATACAATATTTGTACAGATTCAAAAATTTTCTGTATTTTTTATTGTTTTTATTAAGGTAAATGTGCCGTGATATTTTCACTAAAAATTTAAATACGATTAATAAGTAAATTTATTAAAATTTTGTGAATTCAGTTCATAACTGGAATAGCATATATAATAAGATAAATAATTTTTAACACAAGAACATTAATACATTACAAATTAAAATCATAATGGGAATTTAAGTTAAATATGAAAACTTACTTAATGCAACTACAGTATTCGTAATTTGTTTCAAACAAATTTAGATATATTTAAATATTTTTATTTTTAGAAATGGAACTGAATTTATAAGTTCCAACATAACAGCAACTTCGAAAAATTGCCATAATTTTCTGATATTTGATTATTATATATACATCGCGAAAAGTACTTACATAGACTATAAAATGTATTTTTGATGCTTGACGCGATGCTAAAAATATCTAAAAAAAAAATTGAAAAAAACTTTTAGTAGTATTGCTGAGTAAATTATAAAAAAATATTCGCGTTGTATGTGACTAAAGCCTTATTGAATTATTTAAAATAGATATTGATAGGTAATACATTTTTACATATTGGTTATTTACACGTATGGTGCGGCCAGACTGTTCATCGACTGCCACGTCTTAACCTTTGCACAAAAAATGGGATAAGAAGCGGCATTCGTTTATGTTAATACGACAATCTGCAACCGCTATGAAAGAAATGTTCCTGCAGATAAAATATTCATAACAACGAGAGAATTCAGTATGTTGAGATTTCATCTCAATGATTCATGCAAAAATGGTAGTTTTATTAGTAACATGCGACAAAATAAGAAAGAAGCAGATAATATAAATGGATATGCTTCCAAATTTCTGCAATTTTCCGTGCAGACGTAGAGAGACTCTTGAATGTTCCACAAAATATTGACTGGTTATCTAACCAGCCTAATTACTATACACTCCGTCGAGCTAATGTTACAAAACATAATCAATATTATTACGGAAAGAGTGTAAGGAGAATTTAAAATCATATTGAAGGGCTTATAAATTGTAGTAAATTCTTTTCTTTTATAATTTTTTTAAATAATGCTTCAACTCAGAACATTAACATTCGTTAAAGCCGAAATCCTTTTCCCCAATTACATTATGTAGACACGCACACATTCATACACAGGTACAAACCGCGCGAATGTTGCGTATGTACGTACGTACATACGTATGTATGTATGTATGTATGTTGTATGTATGCGTGCTTGTATGTATGTGTGTGTGTGTGTATGTATGTATGTATGTATGCATGCATGCCCGTATGTACATATGATAATTAATAAAACCCATTGTATATCCTTCTTATGAGCACATCATACAGTTGTTCCGTTCATAGTATTTGTATATTGACAACTACATATTTCAGTCTGTATAGGGCGATATTAAACGGAACATCTAGCTTGCAACCAATGTTTACAATGATTGTTATAATTAAGTATTTGGCTGTATTATAATTTTAATAGTTGATTATAATCGGATATATCTGTATACATATATATAAATACAAATTAACTATAAAATAAATAATTTAAAGAAAATACAATAAGACGGATAGAACAGATGTTTGAATTAAGTAGTGCTTGTACATTAGCTATTCGTGTGGAACGATAAATACAATATGCTTCGCTACAAAATCGAAAATATCTTCGTAGCATTCACATAATTGCCGTTTGGCATTTCCTATGTAACACCCGTTGGTCGCACAAATGGTGCAATTATTTATACGATAAATAACCGTAGTATTTTGTTCCATTAAAGAAATTGTATTGATTTATTGTAACAATTAAAAACAATCTTGAACGGGTAATATTTATCATTGAATATTTCATTATTATCCAGTGATCAATCCATTTACCTATCATTACTGATAATCATGATTTGATATCTCGCGCGCACAATGGAATACACTGGAATGTTATTCTGTCTTGTTTTAGTTTGCTTTTTATATTATGCGCGCAAAATTATTATTTTCCATATGGCTTTTATTATGTTTTTATTAGAAAACAAAATCGATTTTCATTCAGCATGAAATTGCTTGCTATTAAAATTATTTAAAACAAAAAACGGTAAAATGTTTGCTCGAGAATAACGAATTGCTTGTCAAAAAGTTTTCTCTTTCATTCCGTATTTCTTGCAGCTAGTTCCACATTTCAATAAAATATAGTATCATTGATTTTATAACATGTGAATGAAATATATGTTATAAATTCCTTATTTATCGTTAATTAAGAAGAAAACAACGTGAAAAGATACGTTGATATTTTCGTTTCTACAGTTTTACCGGATATTCGGTGAATTTAACCGACATGCGCGCGACGTTGGTAAAGAATGACGTCAGGCGTAGTAATACACGCTAAGAGCGCATGGCGAGTGGAGCGTCTGCAGAGGCTGCGCGAAGTGGGAACTGCTTTCGATTGTTGGCGGGCGCCGCCATCTTGGTCAGTGAGCTTGCGAGTGGCTGTACGACGAGGTGTACGTATTTCGGTGAAACGAGTATTTGGTGCGATTTCCCTGAAATCTTTCGTCTACCCGTGAAATCCACAAGCATCCAAGATGTCGGAACGGGAGGACAACGTTTATAAAGCGAAATTGGCTGAGCAAGCGGAGCGCTATGACGGTGAGTACATATTTTCCGGGAAAAGGACCCGGCCTGCGCTAAAATGAAATCCATGAAATCGACACAAAGCATTGCTACAAAGAGAAAGGAGGTAACACCGCTCTCGTGACGTGCCTGCTATACGATATCGTGGGATATATAACGAATTCCTCTGAGAATCGAGAACCTCAAACTGGGATCGTGTCTCATTGGATCTGTCAAAAGTTTATGAAACGTCAAATATGACTAATCCATACACGATAGTGGTCAAGTAGCCGGTTCATAACCGGTGTTTCTTTATTAAAGGATAGATTTGTTCTTAGATTTTGTCACTTCTGCACCAGAGCCTGTCAAGGTATATGAACTTTTGAGAGTTTTCATAAAGAATTGGTTGAAAAGCTATAAAAAGGTTTCGTCGTTTTCGAGTTATATTGTTTCATCGAAACAAACTAGTTAACGCCGAGATAGCGTTGCTAGGCGTGCTGTGTTCAGTACTTTACGGGGTCTCTCGGCAGATAACCAGACAGTCGGTCCTTCACCGACATGTATGACGCATAGACACGACACGATACTTACCAATCGCTGCCGGGTTACTCCTTAGACACGTAGTAACGCGTGCTCTGCTCGTGGCATTTGGCCTTGAAAGCAGAGAGAAATTATTTGGTCGATCAACCAACCGATCTATCGGATCGACAATAATACTTATTGAAATTATCTTGTATTTTTTCTCATAGTTATTTTCTACATAATATATTCTCAAATACTGTTTCTTCTTATACAGTACGCATGGTTAATAATTTCGTTTGTAGAAATTTTTACGTCTGGCGAAAGCGACGCGTAGTGGGGATTCTCGTCTGGTAGAAGGGGAAACCGTCAAATCTTTTCGTTTTACGAACCTCTCATTTTGCATTTCTCCTTAGATATATTTTATGCATAACACGCTTTGTCTTGTTATCAAGCTTGCAAATCAAGTATATGCATTTGACATTTTACGGAAGCAATGATGTATCTTCATGCAAATTTCCTGTAATCATTCAGTAACTCGTATTTTTTACAAACTTGTTTCATTTTATGTATGAATACACACAACACATCTGAATAAAAGACTTATTCGTGAGTTTCAATATTTTTTTTTCAAAAGTTTTTCACATAAAAAGGATTTCTTTATATATATATTCTAATTAAATAATAAAAATTATTTTATTTTGAAATAAATAAATTCATTTTACATATTTTATTATACTATAAATTATGAAAAATTATATTATTTATTTCTAAAGTTGGAAGTCAAGGAAGAAATTAATCAATGAAGCAGACAAAAGAATGATTTTCCTATTCATTTCATAAAGTTGTTTTTTTTTTTTCATAATTTTACTCTCTTCTATTCTTCTACACTCTTATTTTCATCTCTTTATGAACATATTAATCAAGATAGATATATTAAAAAGTGGAAACACTTGCACATAAGAATTCTAGTTGAAATGATTGCTAAACGTGAAGAATGACAGGATAGAGAGAGAAGAGCTGTTGTGACTCTCCCGGGATGAGGAAAAGGAAGGGCGGTGGGCAAATTTGAGGGTTGTGAGAGCAAGATACGGATGGAAAGGGGAAGAGAGACGAAAGGATGACGGGCGGGCGAGATTATGAGTGGAGGGTGAGAACGGGAAGGGGTGAGATATATAGACTAGAGTGGGGGAAAAGAGGGGCCATAGCAGAAGGAAAGTATTGATCTGCACTAGCTATCCTACGTTTCTGTACACCTCCGTCACCGGGTATACCATGTTCATAGTATGTAATTCGTGCCATCTAGAACCGTCATGAACTTGAGTCTGATCTCTTCTCACAAATGTCACTCTGAAACCTCTGTTGATTTTAGCCAATGATGATAAAGAAAAAATATAAATTAATTTTTTCTCTACTTTGAATATTTATATATTGAATTTATATGTCACCACTTTTTTCCAGGACATTCATGTTGAATGATAATAATTGATAATAATTTATTTTTTTTAAAGGACAATTTGTTTTTTAATAAATCGAATTGTCGATATAATTTGATATAGATAAAAACTTAAAATTTTGAATTTTATTTATTTTGAAGATAAGATTTCAGTTGTAAAATTATCTGGAAACTCGTGTCCATCTTTAATAGTTTTTCACTTAATGCACGACCCCATAATACCTTTTGCAACCATCTATCGATTTTATCGAGGAATCACAGATTTTAATGTCATCTAAAAATATAACAATATATTAATTTGTTAATGTTAATATTTATTTGTGATAATAAATATTTATACAAAATAAATAGAGAAATTATTAATCATATTTTTTTCCCAGTTATGAGTTGTAGACAAACGTGTCATATGATCGATATCATTATTCCCAAACATCGTATATCTATAGATAATAAGTACATAATATTAACTTATAAAGTTCAAGGGGCAACAGATAAATATATGCCTGTATATCAATTTTTCTCGTGCAGAATTTCTCTAATATCTCAGATGAAACTAGATAATAATGTTTTCACGCACAAGGTAGCGATGTATTAATAAGATCAATAGATCATTTTCAATTCATTACTTTGCCATGATTGCATGCAATTTATTTCGGTAAGTTCGATACTTTTATTAAAATATATAATATACTTTTTCATTGTATAACTTTCATAATTTTATCCTTCAACAAAATTTCGATAATTAAATTAATTTTATTATATATTTTCTTACATGTTATTATTCTGTAATTTCTATTAGTTTTCAATTTAATGAGACTTTTGTCGATGGCGACGCTTTCGCCGATGTGATTTTATAGAAATGGTCGAGGCGATGAAGAAGGTCGCCTCGCTGGATGTGGAGTTAACCGTCGAAGAGAGGAATCTTCTTTCTGTCGCTTACAAAAATGTGATTGGCGCGAGAAGGGCATCCTGGAGAATAATCTCCAGCATCGAACAAAAGGAGGAGAACAAAGGTGCCGAGCGGAAACTAGAGATGATCCGTCAGTACCGATCTCAGGTTGAAAAAGAGCTGAAAGACATCTGCGCCGATATCCTCGGAGTTTTAGACAAACATTTGCTCCCATGTGCATCTACTGGCGAATCGAAAGTCTTCTATTATAAAATGTAAGAGAATGTGGCGAATTTTGATACAGATCTTCAAATAGAAAATTATTTGTTTTTCTATTCTTGAAGTATATTGCATATTATTTAATGTTACCAATTGTAAGTTTGCTGAATAGGTTTTATATTGTAAATTTAAAAATATAATTTTGAAAAATCAATAATAAATTAAAGTAATTTAAATTAAAAAGTAACCAATGGAACAGTTTTGTTTCGGTCTAACTAACTTTTATATTATTTTTTGAAATAGTTGATAATGTTGCCTCGATAATTACATGAATATAATCATTTCTTAGCGGATATGATTTATGAATAAGCGCAGATTCCATTTCATTCTATTCGTATAGCAAGAAATACTAAAATATAAATCTAGCAAAATTTTATTTAATATGTAACAAAATTCATTTATTTTTACTACATTTGCAAATAATCAATATTTATATTTGTAATTTATTATATCATGATGAATATATTAATATATTTGTTATATATAAAATGAATGGAAGAAATTAGTAAAAAAATATTCAAAATATGTTATGATTTAAGAAAAAAAAGTTATGTTTATTCCAATAATTCTATAATAGATTTTAATAGAAGATTATAATATAAAATTGATGCATTATATTTTTAATACATATTGTACTAAACTTGTTTATAAAGACAAAATTTTGTTATCATAGGAAGGGTGATTATCACCGTTACCTTGCTGAATTCGCCGTTGGCAACGATAGGAAGGAAGCCGCAGAGAATTCTTTGGTCGCTTATAAAGCAGCAAGTGACACCGCCATGACGGATCTACCACCAACTCATCCCATCCGCTTAGGATTGGCACTCAACTTTTCCGTGTTCTATTATGAGATTCTCAATAGCCCTGATAGAGCATGTCGTCTTGCGAAGGCAGCCTTTGACGACGCGATCGCGGAACTAGACACCTTATCCGAGGAGAGTTACAAAGATTCTACCCTCATTATGCAGCTTCTTAGGGACAATCTTACTCTATGGACGTCAGACATGCAAGGAGACGGTTAGTATATCTTTTTGTAAAAAAAAAAATTGCTCGTTGCGTTTAAAACGTTCACTACTACTATTAAACGGTAGAAGTTGTGTCGTACGATCAATAATATGTATTGCAGCAGCGCGATAAAATCTTCTCGTTATATATCAGATTTTTTTCACAAAATTGTGCAGAGAAGATATGGCATTCTTTTTTTATTATTTAATTAAAATATATATATATATATATACAGAATAATAATAAAAAAATGCAAAAATTTTTGAATTGAAACGAAAAAGAAAAGAAAGTAAAGTTTTTTATCAGACATTTTTAGTTGCATTATTCACATATAATTCTGTATAATGTGGTTTTGAATATTATTAAAATGATATATATATACACATACATATATATTTATGTATGGGTAGAGAATTATTGGTCTGTGATTTAGAGTTCGAGGCTGACCGCGAAAACGAGGCTGCCGCGGTTTCCACCAATGCTTGAACTTAGGCATCCTTTCCATACGCCCTTGCATTATAAAGTCACCTGGTGAGCAACTCGATCGATCCTTCTCCTCCTTCCTTCTTAAGCATTTAAATCCTTCAATTAACAGTCTATGGGTTGAAATAACTCAACTTTTTTTAATTATGAGTTTAATCGACCCTACCCTATCCTAGTTTGTTATATAATTGATATCTTATCATCGAATCGGAACATGTTTATTAACAAATTTTCTTTTTATGTTATTATATAGGGGAGGGCGAACAAAAGGAGCAGTTGCCAGATGTGGACGATCAGGACGTATCGTAACTCTAACTGTAGTGAGTGTTATATTGCGTATATAAAACTGAAAAAACACAAGAAAGCAAAAAACTCTTAATAACTTGTAAGCAAACTTGTAAGAAAACAATTCAGCAGGTGGCAGTTCGGGGTGGGAAGGGGAGATCTTTAACGATTGCGTGTTCTAAGCACGCACGTACGGTTATTCCAAAAAAAAGAAAATACAAAAATGAAAAAAAAAAAAAATAATCATTCGAAATAATACACACTAAATTACGAAGCGCGCAGAAAAGTTATAAAATAAAAGGACATACTCATTACGCAGTTAATAGAAAAGCTGCAAGAGCATGTAGAGAGGCATTATTCTTTGCCTTCTTTGCGTATCGAGAAGAAAAAAAAAAAAGATGCTGTCTCTTTCAGTGTACGATGTCGAGAAACGTTGAGTTGGCACCGACTGATGCAGCGCGTAGTATATATTCAATCATAGTAATAAAACCAGAGAAACACGGAATGAAAATTTAAAAAAAAAAAAAAAAAAAAAATAACGACGCTAATCCAGTCGGAATAAACTCTCATTTTTGTTTGCTCCAGCGAGTGAGAACGAATAGCATTATCCTCTCCGCAATGTTTTATCAATAACGAATTAATGGCTCGACGTCGATCGAAATGCATATTGTGTTCGTTTGTTTTCACCCCACCCCCAATCTCCTCCTCCTCGTCCTCTTCCCCGCTTTTTTACTGCGCGCATCATTATTCTCGCATACTATGATAAATAACGATATTATTAATGTATGCGTGTAAATCGAGTGTAAATCATTCGTTTATCTAAGGGATAAACTCGTCTCCTCCAGAGCTGGAGTTACATGGTTGATCGACAACTGATTAAACAGTTAAGATAGAACCATGCACCTTCATCTCTGTTTTCTGTATAAGATATTATGAATGTACTTCCGACGAAGTCCCAGTTTGCAAAGCAAGTAATTTCATACATCATATACATAGATCTTGAGCATAGGTTCTCTCGTATAGTTACTTGTAAACTATTCAAGAACATGTGCTTACCGCGAAAGCGATGTAACTTAAAAAAAAAAAAAAAAATGCAATAACATCTTGTCTTATGTTAAGTCTGGCTTTCGCAGTATCAAATTTTATGTTAAGTCGAAAACAAATTCTTTTAATTTTGTGAGTAAGAGAAAATATATATTCGCTATTCTCGTCGTAATAGATATTCTTTCATATTACCAATCAGTTGTGTCCCTCTGTGACGAAAGAGTAATCTGATCTTCGAAAGAAGGCTGAAAAAAAAATCATGGTTGATAAGCATTTTTAATACGAAAAAGATAAAAAAGGGAAGAGAAATTATGTTTCGCAGACAGAAAATAGCAGGAAACAAGTAACTACCTAGCTAGTCTGTAATTGTGGTTGTACTTTTTCATACGCCTCTTCTGTAAACTATAACGATCGCTGTGGTATAACAAATTACAGAATAAACAATTGTATCCCGACTCGTTCTTCACCCGCGCTCACTTTCGCTATTATCACTGTCCTCGATTCCACTATATCTTAGTTGATCTTAGCCATACGTCCATTCACCTTTTTATCGATGAACCGTTCCGTCGATTTTAGCTTACGAAAAGAAAAAAAAAAAAAAAGAAAAAGAAAAAGAAAAAAAAAAGAAAGAAAAATAAACGGGAAACATTCCAATAAAAAACGCCAAGAGAGGCTTCGTTTATTAATCTAATCCGTGAAATTTGCGCATTTTGAATAAAATAGTTTAGTAATACAATAGAATTATTTGTTTATCGAGATAAATATTATTGGTTGAAAATTTGTGCGATATAAACAAATTTTTAAACAAAAAGATCTTTAAGTGCAATGTTTCTGTATTCAAGAATAGGATATTAATATTTTGCTTGATGATTAAAAATGCAAAGGAATTATATATACTGCATATTTCAATCATAACATTAAGTTTCTGCTTTTCACTGTGTTACATATTTCAAAACCATGCAATTTTTTTTTCGCGATTAAAAAATATCGAAGATGTTTCGTGAACCGTGTAAGCGTGCAGCAAAAAAGCGAGGTTTAATATTTAAATTGAAACAAAAAAAAAAAAAAAAAAAAATGAAGGCGAAGGAAACGCGCAAATGAAAAATCGAGAGCTCTGCCTAGAATTTTTAGTGTACATCGTGCCCCTGTATTTAGGTATTAATAACACAAATTGATAATCATGTTATAAAATAAAGTTATAAAGAATAATTCAAGTAATATCAACGGCACCGTAAGTAAATATATACGATTAATCTTAAGATCGTAAAGTTAGGATATCAAAAAAAAAAAATTCAATCGACGCGAATCGTTCAAGCGATAGTATGGAGAGAAACGAACAGTTTAGAGAGCGTATCATGAAATGAAACGCAAACATTATCCAGAAGCGATTTTGATAATAGACGCATAAAAGACATGATGGAAAATAATGGAACCATAGAAGAAAGATTGAAGAACAATGGAAAAGCAGAGAAAACATTGGAATCATCGGATATATATATATATAATTTACGTAAATGCGTAATATGTGCACAACCATGCGACAAATTTTTGAAAAAAAAAAAAAATAATAATAAAAAGGAAGGATACAAAAAAAATTTTAAATTCAATAAAAATTTGTTAATGGCAACGAATGTGGTATGAAATAAATTCCAAACGACGATAAACTGTGAGATACCTCATCCAATTACTTGCTTACACGATGGATTAAAAACAAGATGAAGTAGCCCAACGTGATAACATTATTATTATTATCGTCGATGATGTAGTGTATGATTCATAATGAAATGGAAAAAAAAAAAAAAAAAAAAGTAAATGTAGAATGTTCTCGGTTAAAATAAAATTGGGTAGATATTGATACTACCTGAATTTTATTGTAGAATTATTATGAAAGAATATAGATAATCGATGTATCGATTGAAACCGCTTTTATCCTTTATTCAGTATCGTTGTGCGTGCTTAGTCGATTTTTATAAAAAAAAAGAAAAAGGTAAAAGAAATAATACATACCACATACACATCTAATGTTTCATCTCTAGATGTATTACTTGCTCTTGTCTCTTGTATTTTAAACGCTAATTGTGTATCTCTTTCTCTTTTTGTAATTATCTTCAGATCATTCCATCTTGTCGCTAACCCAATTCACGAGAGCGAATAATTAGACCTAGATATCGAAATTTATCGTCATTTGGAGGGGATTAAATCTGTCGTTTCTTTTATCGGATTCGTATGCGTTCTCACGCTCTGTACTACTATTATTAACTATTACTGCAATCAATTGCGATTACACTGGATACGATCTTTTTCTGTAAAACCACACACACACACACACACATACATACATACATATACACACACATACGTGAAAGCTACAAATAAAATAATTACAACTCTCTAAATGTTTCCACGAATCTTTATTAATATTATTATTATATTAGTATATGAGTCAATAATTATAATTGAATATAATTTTAAAATATTTTTCGTATTTTGTCATTAATTTAAAAAGCAAGTCATTTAAAACCAGTAACAGTAACAATTCTAATCAATAAATATTACAGAATCGTAATTTAATATATTAAAAACAAATTCCATATGAGTAAAGTTTGAAGATATTCTTACAGGCTGTAAAATTGTATAAGTAAGATCTTGAGCGCATTTTGTAAAATATAAGCGTTTTGTTTCTACATATTAAGTTACAATTCAGTAAAAAAAAAAAAAAAAAGNAAAAAAAAAAAGAAAAAAAACATTCGTCATACGTAAAATTCTCTACTATTAATAAATTGTTCTTATTCATCATATTATATTAGATAACCCGATCTATGTATCGATTAATCAATAACAAAATAACTTAATTTACTAAAGTTGCGACATGTTTCTGATGTCAATTACATAATATTTCCTTTAATCTATGATTATCGACTTCTGTAACGCAGTCATAGATTGTGAACTGTTATTTTTCGTATCTACGCTCGATAATTGATTATCTTTTCCAATAATATTTTCGCGAAAACTTGACGAGCTCGACAATAGACGCCTTGGGCCACGTTTATTAATTTCCACTTGTTTTAAAATTCGCCCTAACGAGCTTTCCGAATTTTTTGTAATCGGAGACAAACTGAGACTTGGTGCTGTTCGCGTTTTAATTATTCGTCCGCTTCTTGGAGACCTTATGATTTGATCAGTCGTTCTGCGCCTGGCAGATTTTAATTTCACACTACGTAACATGTCTAAGGAAACGACGGGTCCCTTTGGTCCTGGTATCGTGTTTCTTCTATTCTCCTGAAATTAACATTTTTCTTCTTTATATGTTTTAATTTTAATATATATATATATAAATATAAATATATTTTATATAATTCCAAGACAGAAATTATATTTGATATTTTAAATTAATTTAGAATAACGTAATTTTTTGAGTGCTGCAAAGAAATCTCTTTGGGAGATTTATTTTTCATAGATATATGTATCACCTTGGGATTTTTAAATAACCCCCTAGTGTTCGGTTGAATGGCAACGAGGGTTGAGGAACAATTGATCAGACTGAAAGTTGTATCGCTTTGACGAGTAAGCCGACTAGTAAAGTATTTAAAATACTTGGAAAAATGTATCTTTAGCAACATAATTCTCTTACATCTTAAACGGATCACAATAAGAAATCTAACATTTTACACAGCTTAATTCTTAAAGATTTAACAATAATTTTTCAAATAAAACAATTAAAGTAGGATGATTCAGAAATTGCAATATGATATACATATAATAATAAGACTTTTATGCTAAATAAATATTTATAATAATTTGAAACTTGATGATTCTCACTCGTATTCTCATCGAGTTGAACGAAAATATTGTTATAATAAAAATATAATAATTGGAAAAAGCTATGGAATTTTTTTTGAAATAAAAGAGGTCGTCCCAAATATTGATTTGCTAAATATTTTATGATCTTTTCAAACGAGAATCAACCAATGTCTTGAACTTTAGCAAATTTTAACTTCGAAAGAACAGAAATTCTTCACACCACTTATTCGTATACTCCAATTAATGAAGTGTCGCGTAATAGTCCTCGGATTTACCTTAAGGTTTTGCGGTGCTTTTTTTAGGGTCACCTTCAGCAAATCCTCGACAGTTATAGTTGGCCTATTAAACAGCGGTGTCGAGCACTTTCTCGAGGGCGACCTGATGTTTCTATCATTATTTGGAGTGGTTGGTGTAATCGGCGACTTATGCGACGAAATTTGAAGAAATGATGATTGTGGTGGTGGAGGGGGAGGTGGTGGAGGTGGAGGAGGAGGAGGAGGAAGAGCAGCTGACGGGATGGATGATATTAAAATTGATGGCATAAGGGGTGGAACAGGTGGAGGAGGTGGTGGTGGTGGTACTGATAATGATTTCTTTGGAGGAGATTTCGATTGCATATTCTTCAGCATTTGGTGTAATGTTTTCAGCTCTTGCATCAACGTCTCGTTATTTCCAGTCAACTTTTTACTTAGTTCTTGTATACTGATAACTTCTGCAGTTAAGCTGGCAATAGCGGTTGAATTACCTGCACACACCTGTGATAAACAATAATGCTAAAAAAACTTATTTAATACATGACTGGAATACATGGAATTAGAAATCAGAATTAAGAATCAAAATATAAATGCTACGATATATCGTACATGTATATTTTTTTTAATTTTATGAAAGCATGAATAAACATGCTTTTATGGAATTTCAGAATTTTTTAATTTTATAATCTTTTTATTACGCCAAAAAATATAAATAATATAATAATGTTATAAAAAAATTTTCGTAAAATATTAAGTATTAAATAGTATACTTGAGTAATTTGATCAGACAAACAGGTAATTTTCTCCAAAAATTTGTTGATCATCTGTTCATTCTCTGAGCGTAATGTTAAAATGACTTGACTGAATTCCTCTATTTTTTGTTTCGTTGATATAGACGTTGAAACAATTCGCTTAAAATTTCCATAAGCCTGAAAATGAAAAAATTATTGTATAGATAATTAAACATAGATAATTTTCTAAATAAGCATCTACTTACTTCTTTCATTATAGTTGTTATTTTTTTTATTATCCAAACGCAAAATAGAACAACTTTAGCAATAGGTTTTTTTACAAATTGAAGTTTTTGAAATGGCTTGCTTTGCTGAAAACTGGTACACGTGCATTTTTTATTACATTCAATAGGCTGCAAATAATAATTAAGTTCTATATCGTTTCTTTTTTATGATAATAATATTACTTTTATCATTCTTAATTATAAAAGCAATATATATATTTGAATAACTGAAAAATATCTTAATCTTAAATAAATCAATAGAATTAAAGAAATTGAAATGAAAATTAATTACTTCTTGAAAACATCTACTACAGCTGCCAGAATCAGACATAACTGGAAGATCTAAAATCAAAGTGGTCGGGGATTCTGAACTGTTACTGCTCCAAATGGTTTTTGTGATCGTTGTATTCGGACAAAAATAATTCTGAACATTTTTTTTTCTATTTGCAATAAATCTGTAACTGTAGCGGAATCTACAGGTTTTTTTGATCCTTCTGCTTCCACTTCGTCATCAAATTTAAGCGTAGTCCGACATCTTTTCGCAGGAGGAGGTGAACCACTGCAAGGAGTGATCGATCGAGCTCTAATCCTCGTTGCATTACTTTTCGTGTCTATATAATTTTGCCCATCATCCACTTTATTATTGATCTTCTCATCTTCTGCGGAATAATGTTTATTGATACATTCATTCGAAGTCTCGTTTGAAGTTAATGACGAAGAAGTATAACAAGAAAATGAATTTGTTTGAACACGATTTCCAAAGAATTCTTGATTTGCGGTTCGTACTTTAATGTTACTTAAATATCGTAAATTTGAAAGAATCTGTCTGCACTCACTCCAATTATTGGATCGATTTCCATCCGAATCTTGCTCAATTTTTTCATTTATTATTTTAACTCTCGTATCTTGATCGTGTTTATTCCATTTTTCTTCATATCGGCCTACAGAATCGCATGTAGAAATCATTGTTTGAAATTCGTCTAAAAAATGAGATTCTGATTCTGAATTAAAATTAGAAAATTTTGTTGGCTCTGAGCTATAACCACAAGGAAAGTGATAAGATGATTTTGGAGAACGAATTTCAGTAGTGGTATAATCGTTAAATTTAATCCTTGAAAAAGATTTTTTCTCTTGCAAAAACTTACAATTGTTCATTTCTAATTTTATTTCCTGATTCATCGATAGAGTTTTGTCTAATAGAAAGCATTCTTTCGCAGATACATCGATATTCTGTTTAAACAAATTATTTACTTGATTTACTTTAGCCACTTCCAACTCTTTTTCACTATTGTTTTTCTCTTTTGTCTCATGTTTATTTGATCCATTTAAATCTAATTTTATTCGACGAAATCGTGGTACGATTTCTGGACTTAAATCATCGTAGTATGATAGATCAGGTTGTTCAGATTCGAATAGTACAGATTCTGGGGATCGTTGATGCAAAAGTCGTTCAGATGATCTCGACTTTTTCTGTAAAGAAATATATTTATTTTCTACATAATCGATCTCGTCAGAAGTATCCGAATTTTGTAATAAAGTTTCTTGAGATTGATATAAAAATTGTTTGTGTCGAGATCGTTTGTGATTTTTCCGTTTTGACATTATTTATTTTTTCGTTCAAATAATTTACTCGATATTTATACGAAATCCAGCTACGCTCGTGGATTTATTAATTAAGAAAGTAATAACATTCTTGAGAGAAATTCTTTACAGAACACTTTTTAAGCCGAAAAATTAACATACACAATGGAAAACGCAGTATTTTCAAACTTGTTTCGTTAATTTATACAATGAACATGAAACTGTTCTATTTATTCGTTATATAGATGACATTGTATTGAAGGTTGTCTATTAATGTTTATTTTGATTTTAATAGAGGAAAAATAGTAGACTAGGGAATTTTTGTTATCATATAATTTACGATTCTATTTTCTATAAAATTAATAATAAAAAATATATAAATAGAATAAAAAATTCTTTTTATTTAACGTAATTTATTTTCAAATTACATGCAGTATATTGCAATTTTGATATTCCATTCTTTTAAAACGAGATAGTGAGTGTCCAATATTTAATAGTGAATATCCAATTTTTTATATTCCATTTCTTTTAGAACAAAATAATGAGTATTTCTTTTCAAATACTGTTCTATTTCGATTTCTTATTGCTCTACCATATTATAAATGAATTTAAACATCTATAAAGTGTGTGTTATATCTACTGATTAATAAAGAATTCGCCGCTTCTATTTTTTAAATTTTTCGCGTACAACGCGAATTATTTTCATAATCAATATCAAAAGTTATCGAGTTTTATTTGATATTATTTAATATCTCCTAATATTTTAATAATTCATGGAAATAATGTTCATTTTTTCATAAATTTTTCTCCCTTTTCAACATTCTTCTTAAGCTCTGGGATCGCTGCATTTAACAGTTCTTTTTCATATCCATTGAGTTTTTCAATACCAAGATTCTTTTCAATTCCTCCTTTCTAAAATTTAATATGAATATAATATTCCATTCCTACATAGATATACCATTGATTGATAATTATACTTACACCCAAAACAACAGCTGTTGAGAAATATTTGGTGTCACAAACATCAGATCTGACATAACAATATTCTGTAATACGTTCTCCATTAAGTGCTTTGATTAAAGAATAACCAAATCGTGCACCAGCATATGCCATTGAAAGAGTGGCAGAACCTGTGCCAGCCTTAGCTTTAACAACTTCTGTACCAGCCTCTTGAATTCTCAGAGTAAGAGCTTTCACTTTATCCTCTGGAAAAGAAACTGAAGGTTTAGTTTGTGAAATTAAAGGAATAATAGTGACACCACTATGACCACCGATAACTGGCACTGAGACATTTTGTGGATTCAAGCCCTAAAAAAAAGGCATTATATGTATATAAATCTAAGATATTATATAGAATTTAATTATTATATTGTTTACAAACTTTGGCTTCGGCAATGAATGTATTTGCTCTGACAATATCGAGAGTTGTTACACCGAATACTCTATTAGGATCGTAAACACCAGCTTTTTTCAACACTTCACTGGCAATTGGCACAGTACTATTAACTGGATTTGAAATAATGGCAATTAAAGCTTTTGGTGATACTTCTGCTATAGCCTGGGTAAGATCTCTTACTATCGAGGCGTTTGTAGAAAAAAGATCATCTCTAGTCATTCCCGGTTTACGTGGAACACCGGCAGGAATTATAACGACCTATATAAAAATACAACAAATAAAAAATTTTATTAGTTTCTTATTAATCTTAATCATTTTTAATAAATTTAATAGAAAATAGAAACCTGCGTTCCTTTAAGTGCATCTTTTAGCTCATCTGGACCAGTATATGCTTTTACTTTTGCCGGTGTATCCATGTGCGACAGATCAGCAGCGACACCTGGTGTATTTACGACATCATACAATGATAATTCGGTTACAAGAGGAGATTGTTTCATAAGTAATGAGAGCGGTTGGCCAATTCCTCCGCTTGCTCCGAGAATTGCAACCTTGGCATTGCACTAAAGTAAAATATATCAAAATTAAAATAAATATAAAGTATATATATGAATATGTATATGTGTATATATTTGTAATGTTTTCTTATATATATCTTATACATGTTTGTAGTTTTTTCTTTCATGTTTTGAATTTCATATAAAACTTTACGATATTAAAAATTAAGAATATTTAATCGCTAATATTATTAATATTCACGATTGCATAACTGTACTTCACGTGTATGTCGTAAACTATAGTTTACTGATATGTACAATGTTTCAATGTCATTAACTAATCTGATTATAATTTTTAGTATAATAAAAAATTAAATAAATAGTGGGAACATAAACATAATATATTATTATTGGTAAATATAATATTTAATAAAAATTAATTATTATTTGAAAAAAAAAACTTACTTTGGCGCTGGTAGATAGTCGTTTCGCTCCTTGTTGAGTAACATTCAAAATAGGCTTCAAATATTGTGGCAACATATTCTCTATGACTTTCTAGATACAAATGTGAATGATTTCAAATTTCGAACGCTCAGTAACCTTTCAAAGACACTCCAATGACCTCAATGATATTTCGCACTTGTTCTCTACCGTTCTCTCCAATCGTTTAACGTGTCGTAATACGTATACGATCATGCGTATTTTCGCATAGATAATATACGCAAGACTGAAATTACTTATAAAGTATAGCGCGGGAATTTTGAAAATTATTATCCATTATTATGCATTATTTTCTTTTAATCATTTCTTCTGTTATACATAGATTATATTTATAAAACATATTGAAAAATATATAAAATATTTTTTACTTTATATATATATTTTTTTACTTTATATATTTCATTACTTTATAAATCAGTTTTATTATTTTTATATATTTTCTCAAGTTACATTTTAAATTTATCATTAAATATAAATTTGTAATTAATTTATAATTAATTTAAAATAAAATATTTTATATTTATATCTTGAAATGATTTTTCTTATATAATCTTATAATTAATAAGTTACTAATTCATTGCTAGATAAAAATGTAAAATCAATTAATTTAAAGTAAAATATTTTACATTTCCTTTTGAAAATATCTAAAAAAAATTATTTTTTAATCTTATAATCATAAATCATTAGATTAAATTAATAATTGATTAAATTATATTTTAAATTCATTGTTAGATAAAAATATAAAATCATATTAATTTTAAAATAAGATATTTTGTATCGTGAAAATATTTAAAAGAAATAATTATTTTTTAATCTTATAATAAATAAGTATATTTACTAGTAATAGTAACTTAATTGTTCGGTTCTCGTAAATTGAATGATACATATGAGAAACTTTTTAACATTGTTTTTTAAATTTAATCTAAATTGAACTGTTAAAATACTTTTAATTGTAAAAAGATATATAATAAAATATCAAAAAAATGTGTTTAGAAAATTAAATTTATATTTATATTAAATAGTTGTATTAATTTATATTGATTCAAGATGTCAAATGGTATGTTAAGGTTAACTAACCTATGAGAAAACTATGTAAAATATAATTTCTTTTTTATCTATTTAAATCAAAAAATTATATAATTATATTAATTATTTCAGAAATAGAAACAAGTTTATTAATAATTATATTAGATGTAAATCCAGTGCAAAGAATTATAAAGCAAGAAACAAGAATATTGACACAATGTTTGGATTCTACTATTGTTTTTGCCAATGCTCATTTAATGCAGTCATCTAATAATCAACTTGCAGTAATAGCATGCCATAGTCATGGTGCAAAGTTTTTATATCCTTGTGAAGATGCATTAGAAATTAGGCAAATTGATGGACAATATGAAAAATTTACTATGATTGAACTCACTGTAAGGCAACAATTACAAAAAGTTATCAATGAAATTACTTCGAATAAATTATTGAGTGGTGAAAGTTTGATATCTGGAGCATTGACTATGGCATTATGTTATATTGCAAGGTTGGAAAGAGAAAAGATTGCTGGTGAAAAATTATATTCAAGAATTCTTGTGATCACAGCAAGTAATGATTCAGCAACACAATATATGAATTATATGAATATATTTTTTACAGCTCAAAAAATGGTTTGTTATTCTTCTTATTTTATAGTCTTAATAGTCATATGATTTAAATTTAATACTTTAAATACAACTTCTTTTTAAATAAATAGGGAGTAATATTGGATGTATGTAGTTTAGATCAAGAATTAACCTTACTTCAACAGGGTTGTGATATTACTGGGGGAAATTATTTAAAAGTTCCTCAGTTAAATGGATTATTACAATATTTATTGGTAAGAAAAAATAATTTAATTATTTATAAATATTTTATTAATTGTAATTAATTTTTTTTTATTAATTAATTTTATTAATTGTAAATATTAATGTGTAATTAATTTTTAGTGGATATTTTTACCAGATCCAAATGTTAGATCAAAATTAGTATTCCCACCACCTGTAAAAGTAGATTATAGAGCAGCATGTTTTTGCCATCAAGAATTAATTGATATTGGCTATGTATGCTCTATATGTTTATCAAGTAAGAAAAACAAGTTTTTTATATATTGTTATATAAATTTTTTGATAATAATACTAACAATTTTTTTTAGTATTTTGTAAATTTAGTCCAATATGCACAACTTGCCAGTAAGTATTCTAATTAAATTTTAATATATGATAATTCATATTTTTTATATTTTTAATATTAATTTTAATTTATTCAATTATTTCAATTATTTCAATATTGTTTTTCTTTTTGCTTTTTACAGCACAGTATTCAAAATGCCAGGACCTATTCCTATAAAAATGAAGAAAAAAAAAAAGAATGTAGATATTGTTCATTAATTGTATTTAGAATTAGGGAATTTTTTTTTTCATAAAAATATTTATTAAAATAAATATTATTTTCTCATCACAAATAATTTTCACTGAAAACATTTTATAATTCTTTATTGTAATATATTTGTATTATTCATTTCACATTCCTTGAAATCTTTATATTTATATTAATATGATTTCATTAATTTTAGATTCATGAAACTTAATGATTAAAATATATTATTGCATATCATTATATTATATTAGAATTAGAAAAAAAAAATATTGAATTTACTTACTTTTATATAAAATCGCAAAAATGGACGGAAAATAGATGTAGTTCTTATAATTAAATATTCATTATATTCTTTATAGTTGTTCTTTTTGATTTCATAAAATCAAAGATTTCTTTTCATCTTCAATGACTAATGGAGTTTTTCTTAATATCTTTGTATTATATAATTAGTAAATTTACCTTGTACCTAATATATGTATATATTTATAATAGTATGTTATAATTTAAAATAACATTATCTCATGTAACACCATAATGGTAGTATTTCTATTAATCAGATATAGTAATTACTTTATTCTAAAAAAATATTTTATTTTTTCATAAAATAAAAGTATTTAAACTTATATTTAAAAGAGTATCAATGTAGTAAATATGATTGAAATATTTAACTAAATAATCTGGCAATGTTTTGTATCAATTCATTAGTATCAGTATGAAATATTGAATTCTTTTTACAAATACCAGATATTTGTGTTTCCAGAAGTATTCATTCTAATAAAAAACTTGAAATTTTTAAGTAATAGAAAGAAGTAAAAAATGACTTACTTGCAATGATCATAAGAATTGTTTTCTATTTAAATATTACGGTAATTAATAATAACAGCAAAATATTTCCATCTATCAATACATGTCAATTGATCTGGCAATGGTTTATCAATATCTTCTTTTATCGATATTTATCATTTAATTAAAATTTTATTTTTGATTTTTTAAAAATATTTTATACTTTTAAATACTTTTCTGCAAGTATTAATAATACTGACAAATTCATATTTATCAATTGTTTATTTACTATAATTTTTTATCATATTACATATTTTATACTTTATACTATATAATTTTATTTGAATTTTTATCGATTTTGAATTATAAAAATAAGATAATTAAAAAAAATAAAAATTATTATAGAAAGAAAATTAATGATCATTAATATTAATATAAAATATATAAAATATTAAATTTTTATGAAATGAATGAAGTTAACTGAAAATAATTGTATTTATATATTGTTAATATATTTATAAAAATTTGTTTTATTTATTAAAATTGGAATTAACAGACAAAATGGTAAACATTTTTTATGATATATTATTCTTATTTTTTTCTAAAAATTTATAATGTAAGTTTTACATAGACTCTTAAACCAACAACTTGTAAGGAAGCTATTCAGCGATGGGAAGATAAGACAGGTCTAAATGCCAATGAAGAAAAAGAAATTATTTTATCCTTTCAATGGCCGCCGATTGAAAAAATGGATAATAATTTAGCAGCACTTACTGCTGTAGAGTTAGTAATATTTTTAAAATTATTTAAAGTAAAAATATTAAAAGTAAAATTTTTCTAGAAAATTATCTCTCTCAACAAACATGATAGAAAAAATTACTGGTATTAGTGCATTAAAAAATTTAAAAATCCTATCTTTGGGTCGCAATCAAATTAAAACATTCTCTGGATTAGAAGCAGTTGGAGAACATTTAGAAGAATTATGGATATCATATAATCTAATCGAAAAAATTAAAGGTGTGAATGTATTGAAAGCATTAAAAGTGCTTTATATGTCGAATAATCTGGTAAAAGATTGGGCTGAATTTAATCGTTTGCAAGAAATTCCGCTTCTCGAAGATTTATTATTTGTCAATAATCCTATCTGTGAAGGTATGGATGCAGAATCTTGGCGTAGCCAAGTAACTAGAAGACTACCAAAACTAAAAAAACTCGATGCTATACCGGTTGTATAATTATTTAATCTAGTTAAATGTACGAAATGACAGTAAAAATTTGAATTTAATAAAAAATTTTGCAATAAAATTGCAAAATATGTATTTACACGGTATAGTGTACATTTATAATACATTTTTTTTTATATTTGAATATAATACATTGTATTGACATTATCGACATTGCCTTATTTTATAATTTTTTGTGATGGTCAATTAATAATCTTCAACTTTCATGTCATTTAATCCCAGTTCTTCATTCTGATCAAAAGTTCTTTCATATTTAGTAATCTTTAAACCATTATCTAAACCTTCATTAGAAAGGCTTTGAATGTAACTATTACCCGCCGGATCATCTAATATAAGTGTAATCTTTCGTTTTCCTTCCAAAACTTCATTTAAGTGAGATATGAAAATTTCCATCCGTTTAACAGTTTCTGGATCGCTACTATCACCGCTAAAAGCTGTTGATGATGATAATTGTTCTTTAATAGCTACTAAAATGCCTTCTATAGTAGTAAAACGTCCACCTAAAGCAGCAGGACCAATTTCTAATTCCAATTCTGGTATTTGCATATGACAAGTTTCAGACTTTAACAAATCGCGATTGAAATCTTCTCTTCCTATGATTGTTACTTCTATTTTTACTCCCATAGGTTCAATACCTCCACCACTCTTAACTTCGTTTGTTCTATGCCCGCAAGAATCACAAACTGTTGCCATAATTACAACTTCTTTAAAGTGTGGAATATCTAAAAATTGAGTTAAGAATAGTTTTTTTTTTGAATAAAATAAAAACTGAAAATTAATATAAAAAATTAAAATAAAAACATTAATATTAAAAAATTAATAATACAAAAAATAATATTAAAAAAATATATATATTGTAATATTAAATAACATAAAAAGGATACTGGTCAATTTCATATTAGTTTCACATGGGCAATTACATTCTGGGCAATTTGTTCGAAAAGAAAGTACTTCTCCCTCGATTTGTTCTAAAGTATATTCTCCTTCCTTTATGGGTTTTAACAAAGTATCCTCTGAATTTTCAGTATAAATTCCTAAAATATGATCTTGTTCTTTTGTTCTTTTAAATTGTATTACACTATATTCTTCGTCTTTTAATGGTGCTTTTGGATTTTCTACATAACATTCACCTGATATATCTTCAAATATCATAATGAAAGGTTGTTCTAAAGATTTAAGTTTTTTTAGTTTCTCAAGAAATTCATCAATTTGAAATGCAGCAGTTGTATACTTTTTTCTTCTTTCAGGTTGATCTTGTTCTAATCCATTAATAGTTCTTTCTATAATTCCTTCAATTGTTGTGATCTCTCCTTTTTGTGATCTAGAAGGAATTTCAAAATCTAAAGATGGAATCTTTATACAGGTATAATCTGATTTGACCACTTGACGATTCAAATCTCTTGCAGTTTTAATTTGTAATGTTATTCGAATTCCTTTTTCTGCGATTTTTCCACTATTTTGTATTTCATTATTTTGAAAACCACAATGTTCACAATCAAAGGACATTACCACAATATCTTTATAATATGGGATCTTTGTTAACAATAATCTGGTAACACCCTACATTTACAAAATGGTAGATTAAATCAAAAATATTTTGTTATTTATTGTATATTCACAATACCATACATTTTGTTCACAATTCATGCAGAGACTTTCTATCTCTGTCGTTTCTGGTTCTGGATCATCGGCCGTCAAATTGCGAAATATTGGTTTCGTTTTTTCTTCAATATTTTGTTTTTGATCTTCTGCCATTTTTTGGTTATATAGAATTTATATACCAAATTTATATAAAAAATCTATTTTAAATGAAATTGAAATAAATGAGTGAATTATATTAATTAATAATTTCTATATTTATTAAATAATATGTATTTTTACCTGCTAAATATAAATTTTTAAACACAAATTATCACTCCTTAAATCTTTAGAAAACATAATGATCCAAATAAATTCACATTCACATGTGTAAATTATTTATTCTGATCTAGAATCTCTAGATGAAGAAGTGTAGGCAATCCTAGCTTATTATATTACTAAGATTTTAGAATACATATAATTGACATAGAATTTATGCAATCTGCATAATTAAATAGTTATTTTGTATACTATTATTTTAATTACAATAAAATAATTGCATTTATGCAAAGAATGTGAAATATTAAAATTTATATAAAAATATTGTCATTTACATAAAATATATTTTTTATTAATAAAATTAAAATATATATTATTTAATAAATGAAGATACAAACAAAGAAGTTTTAATAATATCAAGTAATTGATACAGAATTTTTTTATTCAAAATTAATCATAAACAAAATTTTGAAATATCACTTTTATGTTTATAAATATTAACTAACTTCATGTATATCATTTTGAATGCATTTAAAATAGTATAATGTAATATTGGATTTGACACTTTGAACAATAATTTTATATTTTTTTAGGTAAGATAGTTAAACATTTACTTTTTCATAGCATTATTTATTTATTACTTTTCTAATAAATAAAGTTGTTCAAATTGTTTCAAATTATGATTCTTAATAATGATTCAATTGATTATATATTAACAATATTATAACCTGTAGTATCGCAGAACAAAATATAAATGCATTACAAATTATCAGATTTTTATAATATTAATGTATTATAATCATAATATTTCATTTGTACATAGCAATACACTTGGAACTTGAATAAAAAACAGTATTTTTTATGATATAAAAGGAGCATATAAAAAGAAGTTTCTGAAGCATTTTAAGCTAGGGAAAAGTCGAAACTCAGCATTCTCAGTGAGTGGCGCGAATCGCCGGCTGAAAGTATAATGGTTAAGCATAGCCAATGGCCGCCGCGAATGAGTGTCTCGTGTCGGTTCGGTTGCCGCTAATCGATGTGTTACTACGTGTTTTCGAAGTGTGCTAACTTGCATTCAACTCGATCACGCGTAGCATTAATTTGCGATCGATAATATGTCGAGTCGGCAGTCAAAAAAAGAAAAGGTGCGTTCATTATGTTGCATATCACTCCTGTCTCTAATCATGTACGTCTCTTATGCGATCGGTACTCGCATACGTGAAAACAGAGTTCCTTTGACGAGGAAGATCGCGGGCACGCGCGCATTTCAGAGAAGGAAGAAAATATATGTATGCATGAAAGAGCGAGAACGAGCAAGCGAGCGAGTGAGTGAGAAAAACAGAGAGACAGAGACAGACAGACAGACAGACAGAGAGAGATGGAAAAAGAGAGGGTGACAATGACAGGGATAGGGATAGGAGAGAAAAGAAGAAGGAGAGTAAGAGAGTACGGGGAAACAACCCCGGTAGCCGAGACACCAAAGGGTGTAGCGTGATTCTGATTTCTTGATATCCATTTCGTTGGTACATTTTCTCAAGCAAACGTTTTGAAGAACCTAACAATGGTACTTCAACTAATTCTCGTTTCCGTTGTGACATCGCAAGTGCGAGTTTGTCGAGCAACCGCGTCTTGAATGTGAATTGTGCTGTCGTGGCATTGTACGCTAATATAAGCGGTGCAATTTACTTGTTTTGTTCCAGGATGCGACGAAGATCGGGAAGGACAAAGGAAAGAATGGCAAGGATGTTGAGACGAATGACGAGGTGAGGTTATATCGTCCTTCTATGCCCTTCTTATTGATGTGACTCGATTCATTACGAATCGACTTCTGTCATCATCAGTTTCTCCTATTATAGATTTTCCTTTCTATATTTATACATGTCATGTATTCAATTCGTTAAAGTTATCGAATATTGACATTATGTCATTTCTTTAGAGAAAAGACTTTATTTAACAGTTATTCTTTGAAAGTGATCTAGTATCCATCTTCGACACTGTGCTACCTGAAATGTTTTTCTTTTCAAAGTCATGTACATGTGTGTATTTTAAATATATATTTCTTTGTGATATAATCTTTCAGTATTTTTTAATCAAGTTTATATTCTATGATTAATGTATTCTAAAATGATTTTAAAGTTATCAATGAAAAAATGTTGCTCGACACAGGTGGCGCTTGTGTGTGGACTTAGTTGATAAATAGAAAACGATATAAACGAAAGATGTGTTACGAAATAACCGATATTTCTTAATTTTTGTTTCTTATTATTTTTGTTATATAGGGCATATTTAAATTTTCTCATTAAAATAATACATGATTAAAAAAATAATCAAAATTATAATTATTTCTTAACTTTTTTTTCAATTGTGATTTATATATAATATATGTGGAATGTGGTCATTTACGATATGAAATTCAAAAATGGTATTAATATGCAATTATATATGCAGAAAAATATTTGTTAATTATTAAAATTAATGTGTTATTAATATGTTACAATTTATAGAATAATATATAAATAGTTTTCATCATATACATTGATTGGTATATTTAATTTTTTTATATGCATCTTATATGTATGTATGTATATATATATACATTATATATTACGATTTTTATTTTTTCGATTTGTTAAAAAGCTTATATAATTAATTTTAATTATTTTATACATAATTAATTATAATTTTAATTAAGTGAACAATATGATATATAAAATTGATGGTTAATAATGATACGTTTAATTTACATGAATAATCAATTAATAAAATAATAATAAAAACATTATTGAAATAAGATGTTTATGTAATAGTATAATATAATAGTTCATTGAAGAAATTATAATATATATATTATGTCGTATTATTTAATTATTGATTGGTGATTGATAATATAAAGATTTACAATCGATTAATTATTATTATTTAATTTTATACAAAATACGAATAATTATTTTATTTATGATTTATAAATTTAATATAAATATATCTATATATATTTATTTAAATAAATCGCAATTATTATTATTATTTCAATGATTAATGATATTTATAAAAATGTATTATTTATACATATTAATCAGTATTCTATCAGTATTCTAATCAGTATTATATATATATATATATATATATGGTTGTATTATTTATACATATGAATTGATATATATAAATTTTTATCGAATTTTCATACTTAGGGGCATTTTTTTATTTTATCTTATCAAATGTTTCTTTGTTCTTATATAATAAGATAAAGTAATTATCAAAAAATCAATCAAAAACTTATAAAAAATGAGATAGTAACAAAATTATACATGCATGTATTTTCAAGAATATTCAATCAATCACAAAAATATTTAATAGGAAAAAAATTAATGTAACATATTTAACAGACCGCAATTGTAGAAATAAGAAAAGTTAAAATTCATTTTATACAGCCAAGAGGGAATATTTATATATAATTGTTATGAGATACACTTCCTCAAGGACTACACCATCAACTAGGT